CCCCCTAAAGTTCTTTCTAAAATCCCTGTATGAAACCCTACCCTAAAAGTATAAATTGTCAGCTGAGGGTCACGAGTCATTCTGGGATGGATGCATTCATAAAGACTTGACATTTGCAGGTGCCTATGGGTTTGACTGATCACTGATAGCTGTTTCCTGCGCTTGCCTCTCTGTAGACTAACAGTTGATCTCTTTGTTTCTGGCCAGGTGGAGGCTGACTCATACTATGACAAGATGAGCTGGCGTGATCTGCATCAGCTTGCAAAGGATCGCAACATAGAGGGTGCCAAAAGGAAGGTTGGCTTGACCAAGGAAGTCCTGGTTGAACTCCTTATGGCCTCTGATGGGAAGAAGGCTACCACTCATGAGCCGGAAAAGCCTTCTACTACAAGGAGCAGTTTGGCAGACTTGCTCAAACCAAACAAGTCCGAGAGCACATTGAGCTTTTCGACTCCCGGTGGCAAGGGCGCGGACATCACAGACATGTTTCTAGACGTCAAGTCTGCCGAACAGCCCTCAACTCGCCAAAGCGTCAACATGGAGGCTGACTCTGTGGATGGCATCATCCCAAGTGTGGCAGTGGATAAATTCCATTTGGCAGCTGACATGCTCACGGGACCCAAGTGTTTGGGGATCCTTCTGGGCCACGAGCACAAATTTGGCAAGGGGACCAAGAGCTTCAAGCGCAATGTGGTGACCACCATGGTGTGCGGGCTGGAAGAGCAGCTGACTGGTGATTCTGGGTGTTGAATTATTGGGTTTATACTTTATTGAAGGGCTGGAAATGTCAAGACAATAGAACTGCCAACAATGGGCACTACAGTCTTCAAAGTAGGGTTTATAATACGGATATAGATCATATGGATTTGTATCAGAGTAGTTCCGAAGGCATTCAGAACACTAAGCGCTGAGGAGTTGCTGAACAACGAGATGGCTCAGACTGGCAAGTGCATTCTGGGCATCATGTTCACCACAGACACAGACCAGGCTACCTCCACTCGGCTCACTGAACGATTTGGCCCCAACCTCCTGCATGCTGAAGTGGGAGCTCCGGCTATGGAAGCAGAGAAGTTCTATGAGTGCGTGCGCTTCAAGCTGGTCACGGAACAGCATGAGGCTCGAGAAGCAAAGGTCTTCATTGCTGAGACTGGCCGTTGGGCCAACTTGAAGCTCAGGTTTCTTCCGGATGAGATAGAGGAGCTCAAGATCCGGAGCCGAAACCTTGGGCAATGTGCTGTTGAGAGAGCTGACAAAATCAGGGAAGGCCTCGTTGCTGAGAAGGAGAAGGCGGAGCAGCTTGTCAAGGGCAAGATGGAGCTTCGCGCCGGGGCCATTGAGAAGTTGGAGCAGCACAGTCAAAAGCTTCAGGAGGCCGGCTGTCTACGGGGAACTCTGGTTAGTGTATATATTGTTCTTCAGGAGGGCGGGTCGGTGCTGATATGAAATAAAGAGAGCGTCAAGTCTTCACTCTACTGAGGTAACTAGAACTTGCAGCGATGCACGGCTTTTGGCTTTTGATATAGAAGTATTATGCGATTCCTAGTTGTCAAGACTTCAAGCTTACATTTGTTGTTCTCTCTCAAATGTGGGTCTGGGTTCCTGTTCTCATAAGTACAAGTTGTTTGAATTTTTGTGTTACTTGTGCATTTGCGCATTGTACATGTGTATTAATATTATGCATATACTATGTAGAAGGCCCTATCTAGTGACCTGCCCAAGTCGGTTGCTATAGATGTCAAGACTTCTGTTATAGGACGTGACAGAGTTGAGCACTACAGTGGATGAGACATCCAAAGCCCTAGCAAGGGCTGCGCAGCTCCCTTTCTTTGGCGAGCCGTCAGACGAAGCCTCCAGAGCTTTCCAAGAGCTTTTTGAGACAGTGGGCATGTCTGAGGTGTTTGCGAGCCTTGAGCAGCCAACCACAGTGACAGTTCTTGGAAAACTGGGTGCCATGCACGAAGCAGCCAAGACAGCGGCTGAGAAAAAGTCAAAGCAGCTGAGCAACACTCAGCTGAAGATTCGGGGGCTGCAAGCTACCACATCCAATCGCCAGAAGAATGCCAAGAAGCAGGCATTGTTGAAGCTGGACGAGGAGGATCAAAAGTCTCTCCAGCAGAAGAGGAACACAAGGCGCCGCATGATTTGGAAACAGTTGATGGAGAAGAGAGGAAAGCAGCCTCGGAAAAGGATTCAAGAATCCTTTGATGGAATGGATCCCAAGCGAGTCTACAGACCCAAGCTGAGCATCCAAGACCGCCTGGAGGTTGTGGAGTGGGTCCTAAAGAAAAAGAAAGAGATGCAGGATCCTGAGCCGTGCGAGCCTGACAGCAATGCAGAATCGCTCGAAGAGGAGGAGGAATCCAATCGAGCCAAAAAAAGGCGCGGTTCAATTTGCAGAGGCTGGCGGAGATCGAATTCCCGGAGAGGGTTGGTCCCCATGTGAGCATCAGCCGATGGGTGAAGCAAGCATCTGTTCAGAAATGGCAAGATGTTCCTGAACACATCCGGAGACAGCACAAAGAGCTGCCCGATGTGTAGAAGGAGGCTGCTGGCCTGGCCTCCAAGAAAAAGGGGAAGGTGCGCTTGCAGAGTGTGCCGGCAGAGGTTCTGGCTTCGCTGGACGAACATATGTCCGTGATGACTTCCGGAGTGTCTAGCGTGACGGCGCGGAACGAAGAAGTCATGATCTGGCAGATTGTGCCTCGCGCTTGATTGGGCGTTTTTTCTCCTCCAAATCCGATATCTCCTGTGCACGTGCTTGCTGTCTTGACAATTGGGCAGTGACTGGTTGCACATACATGCAAGTCACTGTCTTGACATGTGGGCATTGTGCGAATCCCACCTGACTGCAGAAAACATGAACATGTTGCCCAGCCATTGTACATATATGATATGTATGCATCATTATGTATCATTATGTGCTGCTTCTGCAGGTCAACACTGCAGAGAAAATGTGCAAAGAGTGGAATGCGAAGATGAAGGAGAAGCGCCTGCAGCTGCAGAATGAGAAGGCCGAGCTCACGGCGGGCGTGCTGGATGGCACAGTCAACCCACAGGTCGCGCAGGAGATGAAGATCCCCACCCTGGCCTTAGCGCCTGAGAAACTGTCGAAGTGCTGGGCAATCAGGTTCCGCAGGGCTTATGGATGGATCAAAAGAGCGACAAACACGCAAGGAGTCTTCTTGGACTATCAGCATCCGAAAATGAAGGCAGCCAGGCTGGAATTTCAACAGGACATCAATGCAGGGGTGGACAGAAGGTTGTTCCTGAACGTCGACCAGCTGTGGCGAGCTGCCTACACTGGTACCAAAACCACTCTTCGCAAGGACTGCTTAAAAGGGCGTCTTGACAATTGGGTAGGGTAGCGGCATTGGAACTGGTTGCGCATACATGTAAGTCACTGTCCTGGCATGTGGATTAGCAATTCTCCTAGTGGAGGTGGATTGGCAATTCTCCTAGACGTTGCACACCTGTAAAGGGTCTAGGTCTGACAGGTCTGATACTTTGACAACCAGAGTTGTGTTTCCCGAGGAATTCCACCACAGGGTTACAACATGTACATAGGCTTGACATCTACAAAGGCTTACTTAAGTTTTGATGGTGTTTTCACGCCACTGCACCACTGTCAGCAGGAGCGGGCCAATCGTGGGAAAATGAAGAAAAGCGATCCGAAGGAGATTGGCACGTCATTGAACGACCATGTATCAAAGGCCCGCCTTTCCTTGACCATCATGACGTCCTCCTGGGCGGACTGCAGCCCAGGACCACTGGGAATTCATGTTCCTGCTGGTGTCATGGACGAAAAGGACCTTCAAGACTTTAACCAGGCTCACGTCGGCGATGCAGTGGCCATTTCAAGTGATACCCGCACGCACTTCATGTCAGGAACGACGTGGAACCAGCTTCTATATTCCCTGTACTCTCCAGCCTTTGACAAGCAGCGCAGGAAGTACAACTTGGATGCAACGAACAAAGGCAAGTTTTTGGCTGACGCCTGGTCTGGATTTAGGGGCTGCGATTCTGGCGAAAACATTGAGCGCAACGTATGGAGCCGTATGAACAACGTGGAGATGCCGACGCTTGGCCACAGTGTCAAGACTACTTGTGCAAGATTTGTGTTTTGTTTATGAGTGTGAATCGACTACTACCGTTCAAATCGACTCATGAGTGTGAAGACAATAGTCACCTTTACTAGCTCCTCCAACTGTTTTGCTGTCATTGGCCTTTGTAAGGAGCCCCCGTCCAGGGGGCTGGTCAGCTTGTGGCCAACCGGTCGATCAGCTACATAACGCCTATCGGCGTGAGCTTCAAGAACTCGGTGCGGAAAACCTCAGGTTCAACTCGGACCTCACCAAGCGGCCGCACTTCAGCGAGTTGGAATTGGGAAGGTCGGGGCAGCCAAAGAAAACCGTTTCCATGTCCCGGCAGCTGCTTGAAGAGACTTTGCAGGCATGGCGCCAAGTGCCAAAGACCTTCTTTTCAGCCGCGTGGGCTGTCTGCGGGTACTGCAGTAAAGAGGAGTCGATGAGTCTGCAAGATGCTTCGAGAGCACTTGATCCAACAGGGATGCTTCAAGCTTTTGGAGCCGAGGATGATGTGAGGCCGGTCAGAGGTGTGAAGCGTGTCCAGTGGCAGGTTGTGAGGGAGGATGATCACAGAGCAGCCATTCCCAGTGGCATAGCGATGCTTGCAGTGAGTTTGTATTGGTTTCTCATTCTCATCTATGGTTTCTTTTTGCCTTTGTGATCCCGTCCGTTCCGTGGTGATCAACATATCCACCCAATACACACAGTCTTGACACTGACATTGTGTGCTAGTCATTTGTGACTTTGGAGGTTTGTCGGAACGAATTGTTTGTTCGGTGGCTCAGTTTTGAACGCGGTGTTTCAGAATAGTCTTGCCATCTCAGGACTGCCTTGCAAAGAGCGGTTGCAAAGTTCACAAAGGAACGAAGCAAGCTGGTGCAGGATGGAGCAGGGAACGATTTGACAAGGAAGCAGAAGGACAGTCTTTCCAGCCTCTTTGCCAAGCCTATATGGATGGTGTTTCTACCACGCAAACAGAAGGTAGCACCGCCTCTGTGGATGCAGAAACACACGAAAATTGATCAACATGGGTCTATGGTTGTTACTTGCAAGAGGGGCAAGCCACAGTTGCTGGAGCTTCGCTTTCGTCCAGTCACTTTGTCTGGAGGTTCCGAGGTCAACTATGTTTCTGGAGGAGAATTCTACCTTTCAGGCCCAAACTTTCCTGCAGCTTTGGTCAAATGTGTGGCCCTGCAAGCAAGCGATGCAGCCGCAGCTCCATGGCGACTCGAAGAGTATGATGATGACAATGCGGATGAGGAGGGAAGCGACGGTGAGCAAAGTTCGGACCACCCTTCTGCTACAGAGTCTGCAGAGCAGGATGAAGTCTTGGAGCCACCTGCCCGATGGCAGCCTGACAGGCTGTATGAGAACTTCGAAGGCTCTGATTGTGAGAGGCACGATCTCTGGAAGCCGGAAGGCCAGGTAGAAGCTGAAGAGAGTGAAGCAGAATTTTGCGAGGCTGCAGAAGAGGATCATGGGGCAATTTCACGGCCTCGTGGAAAGACTACCTCAGCTGAATGGCTTCAAGTAGTTGCGGAGGGCTGGACCTACAAAATGCCCACAGTTGAGAACTCCACGCTCGGGCGGCGTGCCCATGGGCGTGGAGCGCACGCTATCCTATGGCGCATGGGCCTGAGTACTGCTCCCGAAGCTGGGGAAATGTACGGAGTCCTCTGGTGGCACTGCTGGAGTGCATGCATTGGCTCGTCTCATGCCACGCATCGCACGGTCCAAAGGAGGAGCGCGAGCATTGGAAGGCATTGGCAAATGAATTGTTCGAGCGATCGCTGAAGGAAGATGCAGACATGAAGGAGTACAGTCCCAGCATTCATGCGACTGATGAAGAAGCCGCCAAGGCAGCTGCGGAGGAAATAGTAGCTAGAAAGAAGGAGCACTGTTCTTCTTCAGCTTCTTTGGATCAGGTGTGTATAAGCGTTCAATTGTGCTTGATGGGTTTGCAAGCCAAGCACATAGACTTGACACTGGCTCTTCTGGGTAGGCTGCAAGCAGCACGCCTTTGAAGGAAGCGCATGCTGTAAAGGCCGTGAACTGTTCTGTTCTTCTCCAGCCTCATTGAATCAGGTCTGTAGGTGTTCTTCCCTTAGTTTTTGCATCCAGTGCAATAGACTTGACACTTGAATGTACCTTTGGGTTTGATTGCTGTTTGCTGTGCTTGCCTCTCCGTCAGCTTCTAGGAGAAGAAGGAAAAAGATGCAGAGGCGCAAAACGGTTGAACACCATTGGATCAAGCGTGTGTTCACTCTTAATCCTGCACTGGAAAAAAACAAAGCGGCTTCCCAACCAGCAACTCTCACCTAAACCTCCAACATCTTCCCCTTGGTACTGCCACCATTGCTGCCACGACCACCCAGACTCGGAAGATCTGCCCAAGTAAAGGGCGACTGGATGTCAAGACATCATAAGTGGCACCCTTCTGTCAGGCGAAGAAAAAGGAAGACAAGAACGATAAGAGCAATGAAGAAGCCGCCAAGGCAAGTGGGAGGGGTAGAGACTTGGGCAATCGCGTTTATCAAATGGAAATACTAGGCTTTGGAGGCAGATACTGCAGAGGCACAATAAACCTTCAAGATGTTCCTATACAATTATACAACTTTAAATTGTAGTCCTTAAAAAAGTATTGTCAGCTTGCAAAGGGCGAGGTCGCCCGTGATTTGTGATTGTATTCATTCACAAAGACATGACATTTGTAGGTACCTTTTGGTTTGGTAGGATGCTGCCAACAGTTTCAAATCCCAGGAGAAGAATGGACAGGGGCAAGATTCAGAGGCAGCACACCGTGTCTTGTAGAGGTAGCGAGAACT